GGCCCAGTCCCTCCCCAGTGCATCTCACTCCTATCCCAGTGCCCCCAGTCCCACGGTTCCCCAGTCCCTCCCCAATGACCCCCACTCCCATCCCAGTGCTCCCAGTCCCCCCCCCCGCCCCCCGAAAATCTCAGTCCCAACCCAGTGTCCCCACTCCCAGCCCAAATCCCCCCAGTGCCCCCAGTCCCTCTCCAGTGTCCCCAGTCCCATCCCCATCCCTCCCCACTGCCCCCAGTGCCTCCCAGTGCATGCCAGTCCTTTTCCCCGATGCATCCCACTCCCTCCCTAGAACATCCAAGTCCCATCCCAGTTCCCTCCCCAGTGCCCCTGACCCATCCCCAGCCCTCCCGTGACCTCAGTCCCTCCCCAGGGCATCCCAGTCCCACCCCTGTGCATCCCAGTCCCATGCCAGGCCCACTCCCCAGTCCTCTCACAGTCCTCTTGCAGTCCCTCCCCAGCCCAATCCCAGTCCCTGCAGTGGCTTTCCCGTTGCTCCCAGTCCCTCCCCACTGCATTCCGCTCCTTTCTCCCATGCATCCCATTCCCATCCCAGTACCATCCCAGATCCCTTCCCAGCCCCCTCGCCGTCCCGCCCTGCTCCCTCCCCACTTCCCCCAGTCCTAGCCCAGTGCCACCAGTGCTTCCGGTCCCACCCCAGTGCCCCCACTCTCATCCCAGTCCCTTCCCACTTCTCTCAGTGCAAGCCAGCGCACCCATTCCTTCCCAAGTGTCCTCCTGCAGTGCAACTCAGTCCTTCCCCAGTTTGCCCAGTCCCAGCCCAGGCCTTTCCCACTGCCCCCAGTCCCATCCCAATTCCCTCCCCAGTGATCCCAGTCCCCTCCCAGTGGTGGCCCAGTGTGTCCTAGTGCCTCCCCAGTGCCTCTCAGTCCTATCCCAGTGCCTCCAGTCCCTCCCCAGAGAATCCCCGTCCCAGTCCAGTTCCCCCAAGTGCCCCCAGGGCCTCTCCAGTGCCCTCAGTCCCGGCCCAGTCCCTCCCCAGTGCATCTCACTCCTCTCCCAGTGCCCCCAGTCCCACGGTTCCCCAGTCCCTCCCCAATGACCCCCACTCCCATCCCAGTGCTCCCAGTCGTCCCCCCCCGCCCCCCGAAATTCTCAGTCCCACCCCAGTGTCCTTACTCCCAGCCCAAATCCTCCCAGGGCCCCCAGTCCCTCCCCACTGCCCCCAGTCCCTCCCAGTGCATGCCAGTCCTTTTCCCCGATGCATCCCCCTCCCTCCCTAGAACATCCAAGTCCCATCCCTGCTCCCTCCCCAGTGCCCCTGACCCATCCCCAGCCCTCCCGTGACCTCAGTCCCTCCCCAGGGCATCCCGGTTCTTTCCCCCTGGGCATCCCAGTCCCATGCCAGGCCCCCTCCCCAGTCCTGCCACAGTCCTCTTGCAGTCCCTCCCCAGTCCAATGCCAGTCCCTGCAGTGGCTTTCCCGTTGCTCCCAGTCCCTCCCCACTGCATTCCGCTCCTTTCTCCCAGGCATCCCATTCCCATCCCAGTACCATCCCAGATCCCTTCCCAGCCCCCTCGCCGTCCCTCCCTGCTCCCTCCCCAGTTCCCCCAGTCCTAGCCCAGTGCCACCAGTGCTCCCAGTCCCACCCCTGTGCCCCCACTCTCATCCCAGTCCCTTCCCACTTCTCTCAGTGCAAGCCAGCGCACCCATTCCTTCCCAAGTGTCCTCCTGCAGTGCAACTCAGTCCTTCCCCAGTTTGCCCAGTCCCAGCCCAGGCCTTTCCCACTGCCCCCAGTCCCATCCCAATTCCCTCCCCAGTGATCCCAGTCCCATCCCAGTGGTGCCCCAGTGTGTCCTAGTGCCTCCCCAGTGCCTCTCAGTCCTATCCCAGTGCTTCCAGTCCCTCCCCAGAGAATCCCCGTCCCAGCCCAGTTCCCCCAAGTGCCCCCAGGGCCTCTCCAGTGCCCTCAGTCCCGGCCCAGTCCCTCCCCAGTGCATCTCACTCCTATCCCAGTGCCCCCAGTCCCACGGTTCCCCAGTCCCTCCCCAATTACCCCCACTCCCATCCCAGTGGTCCCAGTCCCCCTCACCCCCCGAAATTCTCAGTCCCACCCCATTGTCCCCACTCCCAGCCCAAATCCCCCCAGTGCCCCCAGTCCCTCTCCAGTGTCCCCAGTCCCATCCCCATCCCTCCCCACTGCCCCCAGTGCCTCCAAGTGCATGCCAGTCCTTTTCCCTGATGCATCCCACTCCCTCCCTAGAACATCCAAGTCCCATCCCAGTTCCCTCCCCAGTGCCCCTGACCCATCCCCAGCCCTCCCGTGACCTCAGTCCCTCCCCAGGGCATCCCGGTTCTTTCCCCCTCTGCATCCCAGTCCCATGCCAGGCCCACTCCCCAGTCCTCTCACAGTCCTCTTGCAGTCCCTCCCCAGTCCAATCCCAGTCCCTGCAGTGGCTTTCCCGTTGCTCCCAGTCCCTCCCCACTGCATTCCGCTCCTTTCTCCCATGCATCCCATTCCCATCCCAGTACCATCCCAGTTCCCTTCCCAGCCCCCTCGCCGTCCCTCCCTGCTCCCTCCCCAGTTCCCCCAGTCCTAGCCCAGTGCCACCAGTGCTCCCAGTCCCACCCCTGTGCCCCCACTCCCATCCCAGTCTCTCCCCACTTCCCCCACTGCAACCCACCACCTCCTTTCCCTCCCAAGTGTCCTCCTGCAGTTCAACCCAGTCCTTCTCCAGCTTGCCTAGTCCCATCCCAGTCCCTCCTAAGTGATTCCCAGTCCCTTCCCAGTACAACTGAGGGCACTGGAGAGGTCCTGGGGGCACTTGGGGGAACAGGGCTGGGACGGGGATTCTCTGGGGAGGGACTGGAGGCACTGGGATAGGACTGAGAGGCACTGGGGAGGCACTAGGACACACTGGGGCACCACTGGGAGGGGACTGGAATCACCGGGGAGGGAATTGGGTGGGACTGGGGGCAGTGGGAAAGGACTGGGCTGGGACTGGGCAAACTGGGGAAGGACTGGGTTGCACTGCAGGAGGACACTAGGGAAGGAATGGGTGCGCTGGCTTGCACTGAGAGAAGTGGGAAGGGACTGGGATGAGAATGGGGGCACTGGGGTGGGACTGGGAGCATCTCCAGTGCCCTCAGTCCCATCACAGTCCCTCCCCACTGCCCCAGTTCCTCCCCAGTGCGTTGTGCTCCTTTCCCCTGTGCATCCCATTCCCATCCCAGTCACTTCGCAGTCCCTCCCTGCTCCCTCCCGAGTTCCCCCAGTCGGAAATGATCATCCCAGAGGGATGATCGGGGCGGGGGCCACATGTCAAACTACTCAGATATGGTGTCTGGTTTTCTTTCTCGCAGTTGGCTCCGAGTAGTCTGACGATGGCAGGAACCTCTGAGGCAGCCCAGGTGCCCCTCCTCTGCATCAAAGATGGCTTCGCATCCCCGGCTCTCGGAAAGATAAGTGCAGGGCAAAGACCCAGCCAGGGGTTGGGAGTGGGTGCAAGTCTGTGGCTCGCCTGGAGGGATTTTTGCAATTATTCTGGTGCAGGGGGTATCCTGTGACAGGTTATTTGGACGCATCAAAGGAAGGGCTTACTTTTTATCATTGGATTCCTGTGTGCAGGGCAGAGCAGTTGCGGTCTGTGTCACGTCGTTTGTCTCGTCCGTGTTTTGTGTCACGTGGTTTGTGTGGTCACAGGTGTGGGATGTGTCACTTGTGGTCAGCCTGGAACTGCTCTGCCTTGCTCCGTGGATCAGTGGGTAGATGGAATATGGCTCGGAGTCTGACGTCAACATGTCAGTTCCCTTAGACAGTGGAGCCGATGGCTGTCCAGTCTGTGAGCAGGATGGTCTTGTGATGCCCTGCTTGGGTGTATAGGGTCCCGGCTAGGTAGAGTAGCAAAGAGTGTCTAGGGTTTAGAGGTTTTTGGCTTTCCTTGTGAGCAATCCCTAAATGTTTGAGAGCTGAGTGTTTGAGCATTTGCCCATTTCATTTGCAGGGGCGGTCTTGGGAGCATCTGAAGAGAGAGGAGCCTTGTAGGTGAGTTGGGGAGGCAGCAGGAGGAGTGGGGATCCACTGCAGCTTTAGAGATGCCCTCTAATTTTGTCTCTCGCTCTCTCAGGTATCCCAGAAGATGACAGCCACAGTGTCTGACTCTGGTCAGGACCTTGGTGCCGGTGAGTAGGGGGATCACTGGGTTTCGAGCCCCGTGCCACACAACTCACATATTGGTTATGTTTTTTTTTCTCGTAGTTGACTCGGAGTAATGTCCTGACCGCAGGAACCACCTCACGATGGGGCGACTGACTCAGATTGGTCGTCTTGAGCTGTCCTTGTCTGCAATCTCCGAGTTTTAAAAGGATGAGCAGCAAGGCACAGAACTTTAGTGATGGCAGGTGCCATCCGGGTAACTTTTGGAAGCGTCCAGGCATTGGAGGTGAGTCGGGGAGGCAGCATGAGGAGTGAGGATGCACTGCAGCTTTAGAAATAACCTCTATTTTTTTCTTGCCTTTATTTCTCTTGCTCTCTTCTCCTGATTTTAATTCTCTTGGGTTCTTCTCCTGATTTTAATTCTCTTAGGCTCTTCTCCTGCTATTAATTCCCATAGGCTCTTCTCCTGATTTTAATTCTCTTAGGCTCTTCTCCTGATTTTCATTTTTTTAAGGCTCTTCTCCCGATTTTCATTTTTTTAAGGCTCTTCTCCCGATTTTCTTTTTTTTTTAGGCTCTTCTCCTGATTTTAATTTTTTAGGCTCTTTTCCTGATTTTAATTTTTTTAGGCTCTTCTTCTGATTTTTATTTTTTTAGGCTCTTCTCCTGATTTTAATTCTCTTAGGCTCTTCTCCTGATTTTAATTCTCTTAGGCTCTTCTCCTGATTTTAATTCTCTTGGGCTCTTCTCCTGATTTTAATACTCTTGGGGTCTTCTCCTGATTTTTATTTTTTAAGGCTCTTCTCCTGATTTTTATTTTTTAAGGCTCTTCTCCTGATTTGTATTTTTTTAGGCTCTTCTCCTGATTTTAATTCTCTTAGGCTCTTCTCCTGATTTTAATTCTCTTAGGCTCTTCTCCTGATTTTAATACTCTTGGGGTCTTCTCCTGATTTTTATTTTTTTTGGCTGTTCTCCTCATATTAATTTTTTTAGGCTGTTCTCCTGATTTTTTTTTTTTAGGCTCTTCTCCTGATTTTTATTTTTTTATTTCTTTTCTCATGATTTTTTCTATTTTAGGCTCTTCTCCGGATTTTAATTTTTTTAGGCTCTTCTCCCAATTTTAATTTTTTTAGGCTCTTCTCCAGATTTTTATTTTTTTAAGGCTCTTCTCCCGATTTTTATTTTTTAAGGCTCTTCTCCTGATTTTAATTTTTTTAAGACTCTTCTCCTGATTTTAATTTTTTTAGGCTCTTCTCCCGATTTTAATTTTTTAAGGCTCTTCTCCTGATTTTAATTTTTTTAAGACTCTTCTCCTGATTTTAATTTTTTTAGGCTCTTCTCCCGATTTTAATTCTCTTGGGCTCTTCTCCTGATTTTTTTTTTTTTAGGATCTTCTCCTGATTTTTATTTTATGGGATCTTCTCCTGATTTTAATTTTTTTAGACTCTTCTCCTGATTTTCATTTTTTTAGGCTCTTTTCCTGATTTTAATTTTTTTAGGCTCTCCTCCTGATTTTAATTTTTTTAGGTTCTTCTCCTGAATTTTAATTCTGTTAAGCTCTTATCCCGATTTTAATTCTCTTAGGCTCTTCTCCCAATTTTAATTCTCTTAGGCTCTTTTCCTGATTTTAATTTTTTTAGGCTCTTCTCCTGATTTCATTTTTTAAAGGCTCTTCTCCTGATTTTAATTTTTTAAGGCTCTTCCTGATTTTCATTTTTTAAAGCTGTTCTCGTGATTATAATTTTTTAGGCTCTTCTCCTAAATTTTAATTCTCTTAGGCTCTTCTCTTGATTTCAATTTCTCTTAGACTCTTCTCCTGATTATAATTTTTTTAGGCTCTTCTCCTAAATTTTAATTCTCTTGGGCTCTTCTCCTGATTTTATTTCTCTTAGGCTCTTCTCCTGAGTTTTATTTTTTTAGGCTCTTCTCCTGATTTTAATTCTCTTAGGTTCTTCTCCTGATTTTAATTCACTTAGGCTCTCCTCCTGATTTTATTTCTCTTAGGCTCTTCTCCTTATTTTCATTTTTTAAAGGCTCTTCTCCAGATTTTATTTCTTTTAGGCTCTTCTCCTGATTTTCATTTTTTTATGGCTCTTCTCCTGATTTTCATTTTTTTATGGCTCTTCTCCTGATTTTCATTTTTTTAAGGCTCTTCTCCTGATTTTCATTTTTTAATGCTCTTCTCCTGATTTTCCTTTTTTAAGGCTCTTCTCCTGATTTTCATTTTTTAGGCTCTCTTCCTGATTTTAATTCTCTTAGACTCTTCTCCTGATTTTATTTCTCTTAGGCTCTTCTCCTGATTATAATTTTTTTAGGCTCTTCCCCTGATTTTCATTTTTTAAAGGCTCTTCTCCTGATTTTTATTTTTTTAGGCTCTTCTCCTGATTTTCATTTTTTAAGGCTCTTCTCCTGATTTTATTTCTCTTAGACTCTTCTCCTGATTTTAATTTTTTAATGCTGTTCTCTTGATTTTAATTTTTTTAGGCTCTTCTCCTGATTTTAATTCTCTTAGGCTCTTCTCCTGATTTATTTCTCTTAGTCTCTTCCCCTGATTATAATTTTTTTAGGCTCTTCTCCTGATTTTAATTCTCTTGGGCTCTTCTCCTGATTTTAATTTTTTTAAGCTCTTCTCCTGATTTTAATTTTTTTAGGCTCTTCTCCTGATTTTAATTTTTTTAGGCTCTTCTCCTGATTTTTATTTTTTTAAAACTCTTCTCCTGGTTTTTATTTTTTTAGGCTCTTCTCCTGATTTGCAGTTTATGGCTCTTCTCCTTATTTTAATTTTTTTAGGCTCTTCTCCTGATTTTCATTTTTTAGGCTCTTCTCCTAATTTTAATTTTTTTATGCTCTTCTCCTGATTTTAATTGTGTTGGGCTGTTCTCATGATTTTTAATTTTTAGGCTCTTCTCCTAATTTTAATTCTTTTAGGCTCTTCTCCTGATTTTAATTCTCTTAGGCTCTCCTCCTTATTTTATTTCTTTTAGGCTCTTCTCCTGATTTTAATTCTTTTAGGCTCTCCTCCTTATTTTATTTTTTTAGGCTCTTCTCCTGATTTTCATTTTTTTAAGACTCTTCTCCTGATTTTAATTTTTTAAGGCTCTTCTCCTGATTTTAATTTTTTTTCTTTTCTATTCTTCTCTGATTTTAATCTCTAGGCTTTCTCCTGATTTTATTTCTCTTAGGCTCTTTCTGATTTTCATTATTTTAGGCTCTTCTCTGATTTTGATTTTTGTTTACTGACTCTTCTCCTAATTTATTCTTTTAGGCTCTTCTCTGATTTTCATTTTTTAGGCTCTCTCCTTATTTTCAATTTTTTCGGCTCTTTCCTGATTTTTTATTTTTTAAAACTCTTTCCTGGTTTTTCTTTTTTTAGGCTCTCTCCTGATTTGCAGTTTGGGTCTCTCCTTATTTAATTTTTTTATGCTCTTCTCCTGATTTTCATTTTTTAGGCTCTTCTCCTAATTTTAATTTTTTTATGCTCTTCTCCTGATTTTAATTGTGTTGGGCTGTTCTCATGATTTTTAATTTTTAGGCTCTTCTCCTAATTTTAATTCTTTTAGGCTCTTCTCCTGATTTTAATTCTCTTAGGCTCTCCTCCTTATATTATTTCTTTTGGACTCTTCTCCTGATTTTAATTCTTTTAGGCTCTCCTCCTTATTTTATTTTTTTAGGCTCTTCTCCTGATTTTCATTTTTTTAAGACTCTTCTCCTGATTTTAATTTTTTTAGGCTCTTCTCCTGATTTTCATTATTTTAGGCTCTTCTCCTGGTTTTTATTTTCTTAGGCTCTTCTCCTGATTTTCATTTTTTAAGGCTCTTCTCCTGGTTTTTATTTTCTTAGGCTCTTCTCCTGATTTTCATTTTTTAAGGCTCTTCTCCTGAGTTTCTTTTTTTATATTCTTCTCTTGATTTTAATTCTCTTAGGCTCTTCTCCTGATTTTCATTATTTTAGGCTCTTCTCCTGATTTTTATTTTTTAAGGCTCTTCTCCTGATTTTTATTTTTTTAAGACTCTTCTCCTAATTTTAATTCTTTTAGGCTCTTCTCCTGATTTTCATTTTTTTAGGCTCTTCTCCTGATTTTAATTCTCTTAGGCTCTTCTCCTGTTTTTTATTTTTTTAGGCTCTCTCCTGATTTTCCGTTTATGGCTCTTCTCCTGATTTTCATTTTTTAGGCTCTTCTCCTGATTTTATTTCTGTTAGGCTCTTCCACTGATTTTAATTCTCTTAGGTTCTTCTCCTGATTTTAATTCTCTTGGGCTGTTCTCCTGATTTTTATTTTTTAGGCTCTTCTCCTAATTTTAATTATTTTAGGCTCTTCTCCTGATTTTTATTTTTTTACTCTCTTCTCCTAATTTTAATTCTTTTAGGCTCTTCTCCTGATTTTCATTTTTTTTGGCTCTTCTCCTGATTTTAATTTTTTTACTCTCTTCTCCTAATTTTAATTTTTTTAGGCTCTTCTCCTGATTTTAATTCTCTTGGGTTCTTCTCCTGATTTTAATTCTCTTGGGTTCTTCTCCTGATTTTAATTCTCTTAGGCTCTCCTCCTGATTTTATTTCTCTTACGCTTTTCTTCTGATTTTCATTTTCTTAGGCTCTTCTTCTGATTTTAATTTTATGGGATCTTCTCCTGATTTTAATTTTTTTAGGCTCTTCTCCTGATTTTCATTTTCTTTAGGCTCTTCTCCTGATTTTTATTCTCTTAGGAGAAGAGCCTAGAGAACTAAAATCAGGAGAAGAGCCTAACTACACAAGTAAATTTTCATACCACTCAGCAATTACAAGCCAATTATCCGATTTCCCAAAAGAACTACACCAACAAATACGGTTATAAAACAAAAAAATCCAATAAGTAAAAAATCGCAT